TCGCTTTCGCCAGCACAACTACAAACACCAATCATTAAAGTAATTATTTTCTCGTGAAGCTCCACTTAACGGTGTTCGGGTTTTATAACAGTCATGTGATGTGGCACCAATAGCACAACTTTTCGTTTTACTTCTTCTTCATCTTTTTTATTGGCGTAGACACCGCTTACGCGATTTTATTGAGTTTAATCTATAACATTGTGTCCTAGTCAAGTCCTTATCAACCGAGAGGAGGTCTTACTATTCTACTGGTTCCACCAGCGAGAAATGCATCGAAATCATTCAAAGCTGGAGTATTCGTATTCATCCTAACCACATGATCTAGCCAGCGTAGCCGCTGTTTCTCTGGACAATGACTTATTCAGCTAGCTCACTGTAGAATTCGCCCTTCCCAACTCCCAATTTCTCTCGAAAACTTCTAACGTTGACTCCATGTAGGAAGACGTGTACGATAAGCAACTTTTAGAGTTTGGTTGTCGTGAATAGAAAGAGTCGTTTACTTTTCAATTTCCTACTCAGTCCAAAGGAGCACAAGTAGCTGACATTGTTGTTGGAATTAATACTGGTTCGAAGATAAACGAAATTATCTACGACTTCAAACTAATGACTGTGAAAACAGTGACTTAGGAGCTGAGTCGCGAATGCGATGACTGTTTGCTGGATGACAGGTGACATTTCATCTTGCGCGCTTTCACTACCAGACTCTTTGATATTCAGTAATTTAATATTTTTTTTGTGCCAAAAGACAGTTATAAAATCTGCTTTGTCATAGACAGAGGTACTCTCGCATCTTATATATGGTTTATTGGGGTTAGGAAGGTTCCACACTTCCCTCTAAATCGTCCACCTTGTAGTTTCCCGGTACGCCATTGAGTTCGGTCAACCAGTACACGTCATTTATTACTGAGCTTTTTCAGAGTGCTGCCTTGTGTCGGTTTATATGATTGTAACAAAGATTTGCTTGGAAGACTCTGTAGCCCAATGATTATATTAATCTGAGTTTTTTTTGGAGAAAAACGATCTTCAAAACGGGTTAAAATGGTGGTGTTATGCTTCTCCTCCGGCAATTGTGCGAGAGTTGTTATATTGGAGTGTGCTTTACTGAACCGAAGGAAAAGCTCCCGTTGTTAGGATATCTGCAAGCCTTTGAATTCTCTAATTTGTTTCTGAAAGTAATTTTTACAAATGTTGATCTCTACCTGGTGACCGCTGAGAATTGGATCGGTCTAACGGTCCCTTATTATATACAGCAGATATAGATTGGAGTTAAAAACTTCTTGGATCGTTCCAGTTGAGTTTGGGTTTGGCTTTTTACAAGATGATTCTGGATTTTTTAATATACCAAATCTTGGATTAACAGTAATAAAATGAATACCAAGGCGGTGGAGAGTTCAGGCCTAGGCACAATTGAAAGGGATAAGACAAAGTAAGGCGAATGCAAAATCTTTCGTTTTAAAAGAGTACATTTTCTTACTCATAAAGTATTGGCCATTTTTTCTGTCCCCTGAGTGTGAGTTAGCGATAATTGATGGACTCAATCTACAGCTCTTTATACCGCTATTTTTGCAAAGCCAAATTTTGATCGTTGGCGAGTCAAGTTTCTCGTAAAAGAGATTTAAGCGAACATAGACAGAAATATTGATGCTGATTTCTTCCTAGCATATTTACTAAAAAAGGAGTCGATTCTGAAAGTTTTAGCCTGATATAATTTTAGCCGCTAGAAAATTTATATGATTTTTTAAAAAGTCGGATTTTTGCAGATTTTAAAAACAAAGTCATTCTATCTGGTTCGGAAACTCCCACTCAGGTGTATTCTTCTCCGTACATCCCTTAGTTACAAAAAAAGTATATATTTTGTATGCCTATTTTATGCCGAGTTTTTGAAGTTCAAGTTCAACCAGCAGCTAATGTGTTTTCCTACAATACACTTTAATGAAATCTCTCCAACTTTTGTCTCATTTCTTTCCTTCAAAAAAATTACAGAAATCACTGCTTTCAGCTCGAACTTTTTCCTCTAAAAATTCGAATTTTTTTTAAATTTCATTAAAATTATTTGGTTTATTCTTAAGAGATCCTGAAAATGTTTTGTAAGAAGTTGAGCTCATATTCAAGTCATTAATTTTTTAATATTGCCATAATTGCGTAGAAATTCCTTAATATTCATGGTTTAAATGGATTAATAGGGACATTCCAGGATTTCATTGGAGCAATAATCCTGACTTGTCGGCAAATTTTCAGCTTTTTGTGAATTCAACGTCCAATTTGACAGGATTTTGATTCAGTGTTTTGCCAAGCAAACATCGTAGCTTTCAAAGAACGGAAATATTAAGAAAACCTTTTTTCGAAAACAGACTTTTATAATAAGATTATGATGATAGGCATTTTTTATAAATAGCATTTCCATTCAAAGCTCGTAAGCCAAAATTTTCCTCATTAATTACAAACTTTCCTGCTTCCCAGGCAATCACTTATCTACCAAACGCAAATAAAACAACCATTTCCCCTCCGTCAAAGTTTTCATTTTTGTCTCTTTTTTTGTTGTTTCCGTCAATCACGTTGTCGTATTCATTCAATTAATCAGAAACCAAGTGTTATGTTTATTTTTAGTACCATCAGAGATTGTGATCTTCGTATCAAACACGTCGCTGTGTTGCCAAAATTAAAGGCTCATTTTCACCATACTTTTCCGCTGTTTACCGACGAAATGCCGACGCTGTTGCTGGTCATGTTTCTCCACTTTTGGCTTATATATACATAGATATATTATTTGTATATACATATGTACGTCCATAGCTATCTCCGCTGTTGAAGTGAATGATTATGAGTTGGTTGTGCAAAGCCAGCAGCAGCCAAAAAAAAAAAAAAAAAAAAAAATGGAAAACATAGAGGAAATGAAGGCTGACGGGTTTCTTCCTTTCTTCTACTGTTAAACGTGTATTATGGCGTGCTGTTATCATTATTGTCAATCTAGCGTAAATGAAATTGATGAAGGTTGGCAGCTCGCTATGGACGCTTATGTGTGTGTACTTGATATTTCCACCGCTGTGTTTGCCTGTGCGCCACTTCACAAGGTCGGCAGCTATTTTAGCTTCAGGCCTAGTATGAAAAAAATCTATTAAGTTTCTAATTGTTATAGTCAAAGATAAATATTAAATTTTTATGCCAAATTACTTCGCAATGGAGTATGCGGAGACCCAAAAGGGACTGACGGCGTTAATAAATATATATTCATTCGCTTTTTGGATCATGTTTGAGGCAAACACACTTAACGGATGTAGTTTAGTAAGAATAATTTTTAAGTTAAATGTAAATTTTTTCTCAAGAACAAGATTTTACCTCTGCTTTCCCCGAAAATATTTTGAAAAAACTATTTCTATTTTTCATACTAGGACATTCTCAAATCAGGTGGGTTTAATTTAAATATTGTACATATTTTGGGACTTTAGATTCAGTTTAGTTCCAATATCCTCAGGGAACCAAAACAAAGCTAATGTTAATGTTAATGCAGATCTGTCCCACTTCTTCACTGCAAGACAGCCGAAGAAATCCTCGATTACCCTCTTCACCAGCTAACCGAAGGAATACAGGCTTGAATTATATGTGAAGGTCGATGACGTGGAAATTCCGACCCTAAAAACCCAATTCGGCGCCGAGAGGATTTGTAGCTTTTTAAGGTTTTAATTTTTTTGTCAGGTGGCAGTTCTTTCGCAATTATTAAAACTTCACAGTACCCATCTTTAGGTTTCATTGATGCCACCTTGAAAATTTAAATAAAATCAGTTCATTAGTTTCGGTTTTCCCAACTCACTTGGATAATAATAGTTGATCTTCATTAAATCGTGTCCATAATACGGGGTTATTCGATTAGTATTTTCGGCCAGACTTAACTCTCAAACCAAACATGTTTTGCATCAGTCATTTATAAAAATGAACCGCTAACTGCCCCATGACGCGTTCAAGTTGTTAAAACATGATACCGTGACCACGCTTCGGAATATGAGAAGAGATTGTGGTAAACATAATCATCCAACTAATCAAATGAGACTCTCTAGCTGCCGAGCGACTGTTCTTACTATAACTCAAAAACTATTTGGGATATCGATTTGAAATTTTAATATGTTATTTATAAACTTGTAATCTACCGAAATATGAAAAATACATTTTTTTGAAATTTCACACTAGAACCTTTCAAAGCGAAGATAATCTAATCCCTGCACGATATCAAACGTTTTCCATATTAAAAAAATACTCTGACTCTGTTGTCATGACAGTTGTACCATTTAGGAAAAGAAGTTTGGAGCTAGGCAGTGCCATTTCTTGGTGAGAACGGCAGATTATATATTACCTGATTCTTGATTACTTTGAATTGTTTTAGATTATTTTTAAGATTTTAAAAAGATTATCTTCGTTGAATTTGTGGCTTCGCTGATGGCGTCACATGTAATTTTGAATAAAAAGATCCACTTAAAATACTATGAGGGTGCTTCATATTTGAATTTAATGAAAATAAGTGTTGATCTGAAATTAACGATTATGTTGAACACAGTCTAAACGCACTTACACTTTCTTATCCCACTCACATGGAAGGAGAATTTTCAGATGTTTTTTAATAGCTTTAAAACCTCTTCACTTTCATAAAATCCATTACATGGATATCAACTCTTTAACTTTACTTTGGTGAAATCCAAAGCGGTTACTCCCAATTCAGTACTCAAACGAAAGGCGATTGACAATATCCATTAAAGCGCTTAGCTCGCCAACAGCACCGTCGAGCACAATTGCTGCAAACTTTAGCCACTTTACTGAAAATTCAGAATTTATGAGTGTCCCCCCATGATAATTCGTGAGCGCTTTACATGAGTACTGAACTCAAGTGCACCTACAAATCGCACACACTCACTTATGGGCGGGGTGAAATATTTCGTCACTGCACTCCCCCCACGCACTCGACATGCAGGTCAACTGACGGCAATGAAGTTAAATATACAAGTACTACTTACTGTTATTTTAGTGGACGTTGCACTTGCTGGTGTTGCCGCATTAACCACAGCAGCTGATGCTGATCTTGATGTGGAGTTAGACGCAGAAACCGAAGCAGAGGCCGAGTCAGAGGAGACTGGTGAAGAGGACGACGCATCAGCTGCATTCATTTTTAATGACTTCTCGTTGTCTGTGGCAACGAGGATGTTACTTTGCTGCTGTTGTTGTCGCTGTTTCACATGTCCGGTCGCTTGTGCGCCAACACCAGCATGAGCATCAGCATCTACTGCAACCTCAAACGCCGTACTCCCGTCTGTTGCAGCTCCAAATCGATTCAAGTTGCTTGCAGCCATGTTACCGTTAGTTGCTGTTCCAGCTGTCATAAAATCGCTAGATGTTGTTGTTGTTGGTGGCGGTAGTGCTGCTGCTGTCATTTTCGGTCTCTTCGTCGGTGGCTCGGGCAGTATGTCGCCACCGCTGTCTGTCTCGACATCATCGTAGACATTTTCATTACCGCCAACCAGTCCCCAGTCTGCGCTAAGACCCATACTGCCGCTGTCATTGCTTACATATGCAATCGGTGCTACGGATTTGGACGTGAAAATCATGTCGCGCTCATCGCCATCGTCCTCATGCTTCCACGCGCCGTGTGTGTGCTGTTTATGTTTGAGCTGCTTCTGTTGTTGTTTTTGTTGTTGCAGTTGACGTTGCATTTGCAACTGTAGCTTTTTCTGCTGATGCTTCAAATGCTGCTGATGGTGTTGGTGTTGGTGATGCTGATGCTCCTCGGTGCGATAGTCGTGATACAACACCGACGGCAAGTTCTCCGGGAAGCTGAGAATCTTGCTTGCAGACACGGGCAATGAAGGCGGTGGGTAGGCGTAGTAAGCCGCGTGCTCGTGCGCGTGTTTGTGTTGATGTTGTTTTTGCTGTTCATGTTTTTGTTTTTGCTGCTGTTGATAGGATTTCTTCTTCTGCCAGGATTTGGTAGTATATGGCATTGGTTTGGTGCCTCCTGTAGAGGCAGCTGAATTTTCTATTACTTGTTGTTGTTGCTGGCTCTTACTGCCCTCCGTGAGGTGTTCATGCTTTGCTGTGCTCATTTCTAAGGTGTTGCCATAGGGACTTGCCTGTTGGTATTGTTGTTGGTGCTGAAGCTGCAGCTTGTCGTCGACGGTAGGATGTGCTGTTGTGCCTGAAGTGCTGCTCATTTCATTCAACCTGACAGTTGAAGTATCGAGGTGTGTGCTGGCGTGATGCTCACTTTTGATTTGATTCGCAGCCTTTTTGGCTTTAAGAGGGAAAGAAATAATTGAACAAAATAATCAAGTTAGTTCTTGGGAAGTTTTATAAAGTTTTTTTGATACAAAAGTTTTGGAATAAAAAAAAAAAAAAAAAAAAATCAATTCCGCCACTCAACAGACAAGAGCTATGCATACCAGGCGCAGAAAGGCTACAGCAGCCTCAATCGGCAATGGTCAAGAGGCGAGTAAAGAACAGCAATGTTCTTCACAGTGGAAACACAGAAGCAGTGTAGCAGTACAGCTTGGTCGCATGCAATGCGCCTGGCAATACTATGGATGTTTTTCGTCTGTGTGAGACCCAGTGGGTCAGTCAGTTTAACCTAACTTAATCTAGCTCTAACATTTATTCTCGTATGCTGGCTAAACGAAATAAGTTGATAAGACACAGAAGCCACTTTATAATATTATTATTTTTTTTTCTTTTTCAATTATCCTCAAATGAGCAGTCTTTTCAACTTGAGTGGCATGTCTATTCAATTTTATTAACATTATTATTTGTACTGAATGACAGCTAAGCAATTTTCCCTCAAGCCATAAAATTCATTTTACTCTTCATCGCTTTCACTTTCACTAACTTGAAAAATCCCCTTCCTCCTCGCACTACATTTTTTTTGCTAACATTTTGCTACTCAGTTAGGCATTTGGTGATATGTGACGTGGTAATACATCAAAGCCACCAACATATGCCACTTGCTTAACTAACTGTTTCGCTGGAAATAGGCTGCCACCGAAATCAATGAAGTGTAAATAATCAATTTAGACGCTTCAGCGCTTTCGCACGAAAACTCAAACGCAAGCAAAAATTATTGCGTAAATGCATATGCGGAATAAAAGGAGAAATCAGAACTGAGTAAATCAAAAAAAAAAAATGAAATAAAATTGTTAACAAAATTGCAGAAAATAGAAATTATCAAGCGAAGAAATTATTTTCTCTGCCTCAACAGTTCCATTTGGGAGTTAAGTTTGTCTCTACTTGAAAGGAAACGAAGTGGCCATTTATTTCGAGTGTGCAAAGAGGATTCAATTTTAATATAGCTTTCTTTTGCCATAACACACGAAATGAGACAAAAAATTAAAGCGCCATCACTTGTTGGAAGAAGCCTAGAAGATACAGAAGCAATAATTTTTTATTGTTCACCCCCAACCATTGCTCACTTGTTGGGTTTTATCTGTCATAAATATAAACTCATAAACAAGTATGTGTGTATATATTAATATCGCGTTATTTTTAGTCCGTCTGTTGACTTGACAGCTTGTCACTGTCAACGCCAACGACAACGCTACATGTCCGGCAGGCACACAAATACTAAGAAGCTTTATGTTTGATGCTTTGAGAGCTGATGGAAAGAAAGGATGCGCAGGGGAAGAATATGCGAGTGTTAAAGCATATAAAAGATATATTTTAATTATCCCGGCACACTCGTAATAATTTTTTGCTGGAAATTGAAATAATTGGTGATACTTACTGCATAATTCCCACCAGCAAAATATTTCGCCATCCATGCATAAGCACACTTCACATGGATCTTTTCGGGGTACCTGAAATAAATAAAAAATTCAATAAATTTTAAAAATTAATTTTTTAATGAATATTTTTATGTTAAAGCAGTCAATGGAAACCAATTAGGACCGGAAATGTTGGTTGGTGACAGCGACCCCAAATTGACACAATATAATATTAAAAATAATTCTGTTATAAATTTAACACGTTAATACATAATTGAATAAATTTTCGAAATCTATATATTAAATTTTTTTATAAAGGTAACGGCAATTTTTGTCACTAGATTGTGTTAATACTCTTATTTCGGCAACACTAATCCGATTGCTGTGCTGAAATTTCTAGCAATACTTTTTGTGAAGTCCAAAGAAAAATCGTCGTCATTCGAGTGAAAAATTATTTCGATCTGAAAATGATTTTTAATATCAAAAAAGTAAAAGCGCTGCAAAAACATGTCGAAAAATGCATTTGATTTGAAGTGAGAGTAAATTACGGACTCTGGAGTTGCTTGCTCGATTCCGCCCAAATATGACTTCATGGCCTGAAAAGACGGCAACCCAACTAACTGTTGTTAACACTATAAAGGGCTTGGAAGATAGTTGTTCATTGTGAGCTGCAGCAAATTGGTGATATGAACTTTACTCTCCAGCTCTTTAAAATATACATCCAGAGCTAATAAATAGACTGGGACAATCAGGCAAGAATTTACGGAGTTTTTCTGCAAAGTTTTTATCCACCCACCAAATAGCCAGGACCTTGCACCAACTGACTAACACTTACTTCGATTTATGCTAACCTCTCTTGGTGGAAAAATATTGCTCAACCGAAGTGGCGCTGAAAATCGTTTTACCAAGCACTTCGCCGATAAGCCTGGGAAGTTCGGGAACAATACAATAATGAAGTCGAAAAATGTCAAAAGATCTTTGGTAATAACGATGAATATGAATTAATTTTAAACAAAGACAAATTTCGATCGAAAAGAAATATAAATTTTCACTCATCATAATAATTTCAATAGAAAATCGCTTTGATTAAGCCACTTATCAAACTTCGTCGGCAAAAGGGTGACAAGATATAATTTTGGGGGTCAACCGGGGTATAATATATTCCAAAAAATCGTATTTATGATTCGAGCTGAACCGATGGTTTAATTTTAAAATCAGTGGTATCATCTCCGCACAATTTCTGTCTAAAAATTGGCTCGATGGTAATCATACTTCGGAGCATAAGCTGACTAAAGTGGAAAGTGTTTGGTGGTAAGTAAATTGGAAATCCATGAAATTTACGTAACGAGTCTTCAAAGGTTAGGAAATTCTTATTTCGATGCATTTTGACTTTGACGGATATTAAATCACGAGGATAATCCTCGAAAGTTTGTTCTCGGAAAAGTAAGTTAGCTTAAGTTTTCGTAGAATTTCACAAAATTGGGCATCGATTATATCTCTTTAAATCCCAAATATGTGGGTTTAGGGTTGTCATTTAGTTTTTGTAGACTTGTTATGGCGACAAGCAAAAGAACTTAAAGACGGCCACATGTACCGACTGGTCTACGATAAATTGAAGAAAGTGATTTCACGGGCAATAAGGTGACGCATTATTAAAGCATGCCAAGATGACGTTGGGCTTTTCGCAGTTCTGAAGAGATATTGATCGAGAGCTTGTGAAGATTTATATTAATGTGTGCGAAAGTCGGAAAAAAATTGATTTGGTTGAAACCGACTTCGTTCTGAAGCACTTAAATTCATAACTTGGATCCGTTGCTGAAAAGCCGGAGGGGAAACATGCCTGGCCTGGTAATGGTATATAGTTTTTGCAAGTATATTATTCTGTAAGCCACATGAGGTACTAAATCAGAACTAGTAGTTGTGCAATCTTTTAGAGTTACAGAAACAATTTTCGATTTGCCAATGCGTATTATTTAGTACCGAAGTCACCCACATCAATACCACACTAGTGGCTAATAAGGTTTGAGATCATTACCAAAAATTCTGTAGTCAGTTAATTCCCAAATGCCACAGCGTAATGAAAAAAATTTCAATATTAAGAAATCTGCAATTTGAATACTCGAGACTTTTTCAGAATTGAATTATGATGATACCAAGTTACCTTAATTTAACGTATACCAAAAGAGAGCAGTGAACTTAAATTAAGTACGGAAGCAAAGTAGAAGTACGGTACAGAAAAGTGCGAAAACTAATGTTCGTATACTATATACATCCTGCTACCGGTCAGCCTCATAAACACGAACGAAAAGACCCAAAACAGCCACAGGGATGCCGTGATGTGTACTTCTCCTGACCTTGATACAACAAATCAATGCAGTTCTCCCTACATGCATGAATAGGCACTAGACCATGTGAGTTGTTAGCATAAAAACTTTTCGAATTCTGTCCATGGCCAGTGACTTTATAGCTACCCACGATAGTGTGGTGTGCCACACATGTCCGATATTTTTTCCTTGAAAATAGAAAAGTTGCTGAGTCGAATATCGTTAGAAGTCGTAAGTATGTTTTATTAAAGCTAAGATGAAATTTATTTACAATGGGTGAAAATTGGAAAATTCTCTAGAATTCGAAGTTAATTATATTGGGCTCAGAAGCGTCTTCATTTTCGGTATAATTTTACCAAAAGAAATATAATCAAAATCAGTATCACAAGAACCCACATTTACTACGAAATTTAATCCCCATTTCATATATCGTTCAAGTCGAGTTCAATAACGGTTGACTAGTGAAACCGTATACTTTTCTGACTACAATTCATATACAAAATTCAGCATTTTTAAGGTTGCAGGGAAGGTAGAAGAATATGTCATTGCCTAGAATATCCATTCAAAATTTTTAGCGTCGAATTAGACTTCAGTCAGCCATTTGAGCAGTTGGATTCATATAGTAGTTGCCAAGAAGAAGTATTTTTTGCAGCAAAATCAGGCTCACCAACTGCGGCATGTAGCTTTATGAACATCAACATCTAGGTTCAATGCCAATAATTCTGTAATTAAGAAAACAATAATCTCACGGCGGCCATAGCAGAGAGTGCACTGACGTACGGAATGGCTTGGACCATTATACGTCGAGATTTAAAATTGAAATCGTACAAAATACAGCTTGTGCATGAACTGAAAGTACTGCAATAAGTCCTTGAAAAGTTCCCAGAGATCCCACGTTTTCGAGCCAAATTTTGTTCAGCGATGAAGCCTATTTCTGGCTCAATATGTATGTATTAAGCGAAACAGCCGCATTTTGGCCAAAAAGTAAGCTGAACAAATTCAACTGCTGCCATTTCATTCAGCAAAAATAAGGGTTCGGTGTAGTTTGTGAGCCGGTGGAATCATCCGACCATATTTCTTCAAATATGATGTCGGTGAGAACGTAATTGTCAATAGCGACTGTTATCGTGCCATGAAAACCGACTATTTGGTGGCTGAAATTGAAGCTTGTGATCTTGGCGATATTTGGTTTAAACAAGACGCTGCCACTTTTCACAGAACGCACCAATCAATGGGGTTATTGACAGAACATGTCGGTGAGAAGAAAATTTCACATTTGGGTCGGTCGATTGGTCACCAAGATCGCGTGATGTCACACCGATAGGCTATTCCTGGACTTGAAGCAAAGTATCACGTGAGTCGTTCATCAGTTACCAGTTGAAATGATAGAACGAGCTAAAAATTTTAATTTTCGGAAGCTTTTTTTTTAAAGTAGGGAACGTCAAAATGGATATCCCTTTGTATAAAAAATTATATACAACAGTCTTGCGCCACGTACCATTATCTTAGGAGAGAGAAAGCATTTGATAGAGTAGCTGCAAGGAGGTGGTTGCGTATCTATTAGCTACAACGGTACAGTGGGCGCCAAGTTACCATTGAGGCTTAAAAAAAAATTATGAAGACTTAAGATTTCTAAAGGCAGCCACTAAAGTCGCCTGAAAAAGCGCTAAGATTGAGTACAAAGGCGAACGTATATATTCCAAACTAGCACTATCCCAAAGGATCGTTCAAATGCCGCTCATGTGAGATGTATGTATGTAATTGTGATAGTTTATAGAAAAACTGAGTTGTTTTTTTGTGAAAAAAGTAAAAACTGAGAAAAAATTAATTTCCAAAGATAAATTATTGACTCGAAAAAATTCCACGAAAAAAAAAATAAATACGAGGTGTGACAGGTAAGAAATGAGACTGACTATATTGCCGCGATTGTGGTAACACTGCGTCCTTGATTTTTTTCCTTTCTTCTGCTCTCCATTGATATATCTGCCATCGTTTTAGCTTGCAAGCCATTAATCAAGTATATTGTACTAACGCCTAGTACTCGAAAGATTGCGAAAAGGAGTCAACAGGATGCGCCCAGATATCGCTTGTTACTGGAGTCTTCATCACGACAACGCGCCGTGCCACACTACCCTTACCGTATGCCAGTATTTGGACTCTAAAGGGATTGCCGTATTGCAGCAATCGTCTTATTCGCCCGATATGTAACCCGGTGATGTTTTTTGCTCCATAGAACAAAATCGGTGGTCAAAGAAACCCATTTTGAGTCGGTTGAAGCGTTCCAGAAATGTTACGAAGCGTGCAAAAAGCGGTGAGATAGTTGTACAGCTATCCAAGGGGACTACTTTGAAGGGGATGGCAGAGTTATGGAATGATTTTGAAATATGCGATTCTTATGGAGTCAGTCTCATCACTTAATTGTGACACCTCGTACTTACTACTTAAAACAATACCAGTAAATATATCATTCTAGCACGTCACATACACCTACATGCATACATAGGTATGTAAGTAAAATACACCTGAAACGTGTAAGCTGCCATAAAATAAAACTTCGTTGTTTGTATATGTGTATGCACATCATATGTATGTATATGTCCAAACCCGCATACTAGCATTCGAATTTCATATACAACGCACACATGCGCTGCCTCTCCAGGTGAATCAGAGTCTTCGTGAAGAAATTGTCGTTCAAAAATTAAGTACCAAAAGTGTTGTTAGCCACAACCAAACCAACTTCAGTATCACGTGCCTATGTGCATGCGGGCAGAAAGCATGTTTTGGTGTCAGCCTGTGCACCGGGGAGTATGGGATTAGAGCGAAGTCAGGGCAATGAATTATAGGACTACTACTTGCAAGCTGACATATGGCTCTGAGGCACGTCAACAATGAAAAGGTATGCCACACGTTTGTTTTAACTTTTTTTTTTTACTTTGTCCTCCGACCACTTCTCGCCTCACACACACATATGTATATATCTACGTGTATGTATGCCAGGTAGGAAATACCCACTTGAGAAATCGTTTTTCTTCTTTTTTTTGATTTCTTGAAGTGTTTTGTGTCTCCAGCTGACAAAAGCAAGCATACATAAAGAGAAATTAATATGTTTGTCTCTCCACGTCTACCGAATGAATATTTTACTGAAGTTTTTTTGCCTAAAACAAAGACAAATGAAGAGAATTTTTCTCAGCAGGCTTTCCACTCATTCCCTTACATGCTAAGCTGTCATTCGGTGTAAGTGTCTCATATACACACACACACATATATATCATATGTCTGTTCACGTTTAGACATATGTGCATTTGTGTGGCTTACCTTTTGACCGTGTGTATATTTATGACCATTGTTGTGACACGACGCCGCACGTTCATGCGGTTGCAAATCATCCACATCCGCATCTGCTTCCGACTCGTTGTCGTCGTCCAGCTCTGAATTGGTCGCACCGCTTCCTCCGAAACCTTCATTGCCGCTGCCGCCGTTTGCATGGCTGTCAGCACTTTCGTAGCGTTCAGTGGATTTCTCCGACTTTAGCATTTGTTCTGACAGCAGACGTGTATCATATTTAGCTTTTGACTGCTCGGTATCCAAGTCATAGGAGAGTTGGTCATGATCCTCGAAATACTCGAAGGGTGCGGCAATGGCTGGAAGTGAGGAGAAAAGAGAAAGAAGGAGCATAAGTGAATATACGTGAGAAGGTAGAAATTTCGGTTATGAATTTAAAGAGCAGAAGTGGGCAGAGCATCAAAAAAATTTTAAATGTTTAAATTTATCTTTAAATTCCTAAAATGTTCTTTTGTTTTCATGGTGTAATTTGGTTTAATTTTATTTTTATAAATCTACGTATTTAGTCTTCGTACTTTCCAAATTTTTCTTCTTCTAGTTTTATTTCTGCTATTCTCTCATTCCATCAGGAACTGCGTAATGACTTAAACATGCAGCCCTGTGTGCTGGGATATAAAGTTGTTTTGAAAAAACTTGGAGTCAGAGCCCCACCTCCCGAACTAAACTCTAGTATAAGGAACCCGATCTTTTAAAATCTATTCCCAACACACGGAGCGCTGCAAGAAGATCCAGGGCAAGGGAAATCTGCTTTAAAAACACCTCTTTTCACAGCAGAAGTGCTGAAACTGGCAGCAAGTTGGCTCAAAGCAAATGAATCACCGTGTCCAAATAGAATACCCGCATAGGTGTTAAAGCGAACTTCTCTAAAATATTGCTAGATGTATATAAAGCCCCGCTAAACACCAATCTATTCCCGGCAGTCAGAAAGAGGCAGTCCTTATTAGTAAAGAGAAACCTAAACAACAGCCCACTGCCCTCCTTGTATGCTTTATACTGCCGGAAAACTTGTAGAAGAACGCCTAAGTCGAAACCAGAAGCAATCATAACCGTCACTGGAGATCTCTCATCAAATCTGTATAGTTTTTAGACTAAAAGATCAATTCTGGGAGCAGTTAATAATACAGTTGAGAGTATCGAAGCAGCCCAAACGGGAAGCTATAAGTTGAAGCGTATTTTCTACTTAAGAAAATTTCACTTTTTTCTAAGTCAAAATTTTTGTTCTTTTGCCACCAAATTTTCTAACTCCAACTAGAATGATAAGCTCACCGAACAATAACATTTTGATTTACTATTTCAGATATATCCAAGCAACTAAAACACCAGGGCCAGCTGCTGACTTCTTTCCAGACGTTCAATTTGGTGCTTGACTTTTATTAATGTTCGTGGGCCGCGATAGTTGAGTCCTGGTTCGACAAGCATATATATTTTTTTGTATTTTATATATGACTTTTTTAGGAATAAAAACGATGGCATTCAAAATTTAGATACATTAATTGTATTATTATTGATATTTAAAAAAATCAGAGAATCGATTATTAATTAAAAAAAAATATTAATATATATATAAGTGTAAATTTATATATATTAATCGATATATTTGGTCTACAAAACATTAGGTCTTATTTCTGCAAAGATTTTTCCGGGTAATGGAATTATCTCCTATAAAAATATTTAGTGGCTTTGATTATTGATAACGTTGATGTGTTATTAGGCTGAAATAATAATGACGAAATGTAATCTTATCTACGCGCTCTCTTTAAGAAAGTAGTCCATTTTTATTGGAAGCCAAGCAGTTTTTGAGTTCCTATGAGAGCAACATTAAGACCATTTGTTTACTATTTGATAAAACTGAAATCGTTTTTGTATTTTAAAAGATTTGTCTAGCTAAAAATATATATAAAAATTCATACTGACCCACATGGGTTGTTTTGATTGATTAGCGTAACGAAACACTAATTTTGAACCACTAAAATGTAGTTAAATTTTATTTTACGAACATTTCTAATATTCATTTATGAAAAAAATCATGAAAATCGATAAAGTCGTTGTCAGTAAGCAAAAGCGTTCTTCGGAATACAAGCCAACTTTGCACAGTTCTGGTTCTTGGCCTGTCCTAGAGATAAAGCGTAAAAACGTAAAGTAGTGAGCGGTTTCATTTTTTCTAGCATTTTCGAAAATTCTAATTGTAGCAAGATAATTCTAAAACAATTACTGAACAATTGAAAGAGATTGGCAGCAAGGTAAAGAAATTGGATTTGGTTTAAGGGGATATCCCCAGAGAGTAGCACAAATTTCAGCATTAAACATTAAGGTATCACAGATTGACACTTTAAGCATCAATAAGTGAAATTTAATGGTTCAAATGAAACAAAAAAATTTTTAAAACAAAATATAATATTTTCTTTTTGAATCTAAAAAAAAGTTTTGAACTTTGTACCTTTTTATGCTTGTATACCACTAACATTATAAGAGCGCTCAATTCTTGTTGCTACTTAACTAATTAGTTTCGTGAAAAATTTGAAATAACAGTATGAACATCATAATTAAATTAAATATTGTTTTTGTATTTGGTAAACAGCCTAACATTTCAACCAAAAAAATGATGTGCTTCTGAATTGCCCTCATTTAAATGCCACGGCGTATGAGTAATATTTTTAAAATGCCAATAAATCACGTCTAGATAAATACAAAAATTTATTTGATCCTTCTACAATTATTTTCCTCCAATTAATGTCATAATACTCGGCTATGCCTCTATTGTTTTGTTCAATTTTATCATTGAAAAATGTGAAATCACTGCAATTGAATAACGTGCGTCGCGTGCTTACGGATAAACAAATAAAATAGCATCAGAAGAATTTCTTAAATAAATAAATTTAAACCGCTTTGCCAACACAATAAAATAATGAGTGAAATGAAATGAAAAAGAGCAATAAAAAAGTGTATGTCTGAATTCTATGCAAAAATGCGCGTCGTCAGCCAACCACATCAATACGCCATTTATAGCGGTATCTAAGTAGAAGTGTGCGATTGTGTATGTATGCATGTACGTGCAGAGGCATTCAAAGGACATAAAACGCAAGAAAGTCACGTAGAAAAACATCAAAAAAGTATTTGCGTAAACATTTTTTTCTCTCAAAAACCATTCATTGCTCCTTTGCTTTATTCCATTTTATTTAATTTTTATTCCATTTTTATTTTATTTCTATATAATTTACTGCCATTCAGTTGAGGCTAACTTTTCGCCAAATACTTTTTATCTATTTTAATGCTTTGCCAACTTTTCGCAGATCTTTTTTTGTGAGCGACTTTTTTTTTATCTTTAGCTTTTTGAATGGGTTAACTGCTTCGCTGGCTGGCAAGCTAACAGCACGTGGACACGCCGAGCGGAGCGTTTTGAATACTTCTCTTTTGGCTCACTCTTCAAGTATTAGAACCCTTTTCATATTTGCTTTTATATTTTATTTCTCTACATAGTTTTCTTTGCTCCGCAGGCAACAAATGTCAGAGCTCAAGTAAATGTATTCATACTCACACGCATACATACAAATACAAATGACATTTCTGTATTGTCATCATTGTTGGCCGCTGGAAAATGTTTGGAATGTGAAATGCCCACAAAAGCAATAAAAAAGAGGTTGAAACAATGAAAGCGTCAAGGCAATGGCAATATTAGTAATGGCGATGACTTGGCAATAAATCATTCCAATGGTCGTGCGACGGACAGTGACAGAGCTTGTGTGGGTGAGGGATGCTTATTTTATTATATTTATGTCAGTATTTTACGACTTTATGACGCGTATGCATTGCATTGTATCGATTTCATTTCAAATTTTCAAATATGCACACCAACAACAGCAACATGATGGGTGAAAACAGTAATTAATGTCTGTAAACGGCAACAGTTGGGCCGACGAAACTGTGGAAATAAATTTGATAAAATGTGGATCTGAATAATATAATGTAAGTTTTTATTTTAAGGGGAGATCCAAGAGGAGGCAATTTTTCAATATAACCTTTTTTTAGTGATCACTCGTGTGTTGTGTTAAGCTTTTATGTTATTTTTGTTCAGTATTGCTTGGCATTTCATCATGGAAAGACTCACATTTGAACAACATTTATAAATCGTTCAAATTTATTACGTGAAGAATGTGCTTCGCAAGCTTCGCTGAGCTTATGGTCAACCTTATCGGCCTATCGAGCGTACCATTCCTCAACACCATTACACATCTTGAGATGCAGAGCGCAATGAATAGAAAGTAGCGGCCGCCACTTGGGAGTGTGCACGAAGACCGTGTAGAGTTGATTCGGCGCCGTTCGCAGCAGCTTGGACGGACGTCTGGAACAAATTGTCACAATTTATGTAGGGTTCTTAAAAGGAAGTCGTATAAAATAAAGCTTGTGCTAGAACTCAAACTACTCGACCTTCCCTAGCGACAGTGCCTCGCTCTACGGAGGATCAAACCCAGATCGTGTGATTTAAAGACCTTATACTATATTTTGTGGGTCTTTGTTAAATCTAATGTCTACAAAGACTGACATATTGGAGGACAACATTGAAGCATTTATTCGTGAGGTACCAGCCGAAATGTTGGAAATATTATGCCGAAATGGGGCTAAGCGGATGGACCATTTGCAGCGCAGCCGCGGTCAACATTTGCATGAAATAGTCCTCAAACATTTAACTATATGGACCATACCATCGATTCAAATAAAGATTTTTTTGTATTTTTTTTTTTGAAACACTTTCCTATAGCTCTTAAAAAATCACGTTTACTTGCGAGTATACGTAGCTCCTTTCGTATTTGAATTAGCAAATAATTTTTTTTTTAAACAATATTTCAAAGTGCTGAGGTACATAAATCATGGCGCTGTCACATTCATAAATAAATACAAGAAAATATAAAACAAAAAATATTGAAACCATTTTACATAACAATGAAAGGAATGCAAAAAGTGTGGCTTTGTTATTTGGCCATGAACGACAACATAGAGGCGCATAAATACACAGACGCAGTAATATTTATTTGCATATGAGCTTGTATACATACATACGAGTATGTCTTTACATTCTAGTCAAATGTTTTATACGCTGTTGCCATAGTAGTAAATATTATTGTTATTGTTCTTTTATTGAACATTTGTCATTGGAAGTACTTCGTATATTACACTTTATTTATATGCATATATATGTATGTGTGCAAAGAGGGTACATATATACAAACATATACGAGTTGTGTGTAAATAATTCCAATTGATATACTTACATAGCTTGTACTCATATCGAGCTGTAAAATTCAATAATAACCAAAGTAGAATAGAAATGTTGTTGTTTATTTGTAACATTTCTATATATTTTTATTTCGCTACTTCTTAGTAAATACGCTGTAAAGGAAATACATTTTCTGCCATTTTGCTGTTCACCACTCTTCGTTAAAAATAGTCCAAAAACATATATGTATGTGAGTGTACAGTAAAATAGAAATAAAAATCTTTTCTTTTGACTTTCAACTTGGTATCTACAAGTAAAAATGATTTATATGTCTTAAGAAGATACATGTGTACATACGTAGATACATGTACTTAAGAGGAGCGCTTGAAATGTTACATTCTCTCTGAAACCCATTTGCTTTCATGCTGAATTGAATATTGAAAGCAATACTATTTGCTCATACATTCAATGTTTCTAAGTAACTAATACTTAAAGATGATTGTAGATACGATTCCACTTTGATTTTTGTAAAACTTACAAATTAAAATTTTACATTATTTTCTGCTTTAAAAAAAATAATAATAATAATAAATATAATAAAAACTAGCTGACGTTGTCCTACGTGAAATTATATCCTTTTTTTTAAAAGAAACGGAAGTTGAATTTATATTGTGTTGAAAATGATTTATTTACGATTTGTCTAAATTATATTTTCAATGTAACAACATTTTTTAATTTCTTTTCCGGTGCGTAAATGTACAGAGAAAATGGTTTTCGAACTCGTGTATACGCCAGGTATAGCTAACAGTGTGAAGAACATGGCACTTTCAGTGACTGCTCTTGTGACCTATTGATTGTCATCTCGAATGCGTGTTTCACTGGAAACTGAATACATTTAAATTGAAATGGCATATCGTTGGTATTCAAAGTAATTCGTGGAATCAAGCATTCGGAGCTGTTTGTAAGTGCCTTACGAAACTCTTGCAGCTAACATATTATTCGATAGTTGCTCGCAATCGTCCATGATTTGATTACAGTGATTGTCATGTTCCAGCTAATGTAATTGCCATGTACCATTCGCAACACGCAACGACTCAAATGAAGTTGAGCCGCGTACATTACGTGTAGAATTTGGTGATACACCGTAAAACAGCGAACGATATCGATTTTGAGATATCGGCGATTATATAAACAGTATGCCGTTGATGTGTACGCATCGATGGAGACAGACCGACGCAATTTTATTCGCTTCAAACAGGTCAAGCTTCGAGTTGAAGAGTATATTCAGTTGCGAGATGCGGTAAATATCGTCTAAGCTGTAAGAAACTTTCACCGATTCGCGATTTGGCAATCGGTTCTTCCGACCGATATTACCGCTAGCTCTTCGTAGCATTTTAAAAAATTTAAATTTTGACTTAAACGCACAGTAAGTTTCCATTCAATGATTTTCAATAATTTATGTGTTGAATAGCAGAAACAAGGAAAGCAAACAAACGAAATTAAATGTTTCAAATAATTTACAAGTCAGCTGAGGAAGTAACATAAATAAATTCCAATGCAAATGAGTTTAGGAGTATTCACCTACAAACAAAAAATGTTCGAAGAAAGAAATAAAAAAGAAAGAACAAATCTAAAAAGAAAATTTTATGCCAAAAAAGATGCTTTTCGGAATTTTCCAATTTTCCGATATTTTTTAGAAAAAGTGAAAAATTTATTTTTTATTTCAAAACCTTTCCAGATCCACAACGAACAAACTCCGAAAATTTCATCAAGATCGGTCCAGCCGTTCTCGAGTCTTTGCGTCACTAACAAATAAATGTTATTTTTTAATAATTATTAATTTAATTTATATATTTAAATAATGGTATAAATAAAAAAGCAAGTAGTAATGTATTTAGGCTCATTTTTAAAAGTGAATCCTTAAAGTAATTCTGGATGTTGCTTATGCTTTATGCTCACGTAATTCCTGAAATTTATGGGAAGAGCACAATAAGCGCAGTTTTGGATTTCAATTTTATAAGAAAATCTCTAAAATGTCACCTCTGCCGGCTTTATATTATTTTTTTTCGATGCAACAGCCGTCTGAGTGTATTTTTTTTTCTATTTTATTTGGCTCTACAAAATTTAAAAATTTTTTTATTATATAAAAAATCCATCTTTCACTACTCTATTTTGGGTATTTAAGTATTTAGTAAAATCGTAGGTAGTCTTCCATTTTCTTGCCTGCTGTAGGCGGTCAAGAGCAATTTCGACGCTTATCGACCCTACTTCCATTTGAGTATCTTAACTTTTATAATGCCCCCAACCTCTCATTAATCCGTTTTTTATTAATTTAAAGCAGCCCTAAATTTGAAGTCGTCTCTGTGTATCATTGAATTTCTGTGGTCAGACACTTTGAAAAATGACCCTTGACTCAATTTTTTTTTTAATCAATAATATATAAAATTCATTGAAAAAGTTAAACACTGTAGGATAAGTAATTTATCATTGTTATAATTTGTTAAACACAAATAAATTTTCATGCAACCGCGCTGATGAAAACTTGACCGGAGGGAATCAGCGCGTTTAAAGCCCAGCGAGTGGTTTGGTGCAAAAGTGGGTTGTGATCTTTTTGAAAAATGAAAAGGGTAATATCATAAATCACGAAACGTATTTGGCTGAACAAAAATCATAATTTCATATTGTTGTTTTTTTTTTCTGTTGGTTCAGCTGGACAGTTTGGCTTTCGTAGATAATTCATCATGTTTCTACTAAAAATACATTGAGAATGTATTTGTTCAGCAAGGGAAAATGACAAATGTGGGGAAAAAATTGTTTAAATAGAAATTTTTTTTTTATGTTTGGAGATAAGAATTCAAATAGTGGTGTAATATTATTTATTTATGCTCGAACGCATTTTTGAATTTTTGTTTAATAAACTGCTATGAAGCCAAAAGAGACCGATTGAGTGGTATATAGGTGAAAGCCACGGAAATATTTTGGAGTGAGAGGAAAGTTAAGCAAGCAAATTTAATAGATTAAAATTTTTAAATTTTTTTTTTTTAATTTTTACAACATGAGTAGACAAGACTCAATCTATTTTGTGGGTTTTTCTCCAGTTTCCTGCCTTAGTGTCGAATTTAAGCTAAGACTTAATATATTTTCTGCAAAAAACTTGAGTCAATGAAAACCAGATCCAAAAAATTTCTCTTCACTTATGACAGCGAATTTAAATTTTAAATAATTTCTTATAATTCTCAATTCTTTTTGTCGTAGTTACTGTCAAAAGGCGCCACCTTTGCTGGGTTAGTAGCGTCATTGCTGCTCAACTAACGAAGCGATGCAATTTCGTTTTGTTAATATAAATAATAAACTTAACGAAATAATTTCATTTTGCTTCGGCGCCATGTTATCGAAACAAAATAAATTTGTTTACATTTAAACCGCACAAACTCTTTATTAATGTTAATTTTACATTGACTACCTGCTAAGTTGTTAACAGCACACTTGAATTTTAACCTTTAACATTATCTGTTAACGATTTAACATTAATGAACGCAATACGTTTCGGAAAAAAGCGAAACAAAAAAGCAAATTTGGTAACTGCTTTAACGATAATATTTCCAAATGCTGCAACCAAATCGATTGATTTTTTATTAATAAACATGAAATTTATCGTTAGGATTCAGCCTTGGGTACCGTCAGTTTGAATTGGAGACGATATCTCTGAGCCTTTCGATACCCAACTAAGTTTCACAGAGAATGATTCTTTATTATGCGAGGCCTTAATAACCGCGCCGTTAGTTCTGGTATCTCGGCAGTTATAACTTCGAGGTGATAGATAATTTTGTCTATCTGGGTACCAGCTTTGATATCCATAATGATGGCAGTCTTGAAATTCAACGCCGGATCAATTGAAAACAAAATTCCTCTCTTGACGAACAAATATCAAACTCTACAAGTCACTGATAATACCCGTCCTGCTATAAAGCGGTCCTCCGGGAGTTTTCGAGAGAAAAGGTTTACGAAGGATGAGGGGTCCTATGTGCATTGGCAACGAGGAATGCCGTAGCTGATGGAATGCACGATTTATATGATGATATTCATATAGTTCAGTGGATAAAGAGACAACTTCTCGGAACTTCGGGTAGATGAAAGTAGTACAGCTATTAAAGTATTCAATGCAACACCCGCAGGTCTAAGCAAAGGAAGAGTTTCACTCCGTTGGATGGATCTGGTAGAGAGCGAATGAGTACACTTGCTATGTGCGACTGCCACCAAACAGTAGATAACGGGTTTTCAAAAAGAGGGGTTATTTTTATAGCGCTATTTTTATTGTAAAAGTAACTTTTCCCTCATAAGATTGATGGTTCCGTTGCTTGTGTGGCATGTAGCATTATATTGTTGTAAATGAACTTTCTCTGGTTCAATACCATTCACTTGCGGCCATAAAGAACAATAAAACTTTTATCGATAGCACCATCCATGCATTTTCGAAAAAGTGACGTGCAGTGACCACGCTGGGCCATAATTCTGTTCAGTGTGTTGAATCAACTAATCTCAAAACTATTGGAAAATATTTTTTTTTGGTACGAAATGTCATTTTTCTAACGCCAATCCCAGTGAACTCTGATCGGACGTATACAACACTAATAATAAATTTCGTTTTGCCAAACTTAATGTTTATCTATGTGGAAATTGGGTTCTAACTACGTGAGTGGGTGTCTATGCGAATTAAGAGGAAACAGATTTTTTTACACGTTAAATGGAAATTGGTTGAAATGTGGCTCGAAATCTATAAACTACAATTAAAGAAATGTTTGTTTTTTGTTCAACAATTGGAAAGTTGATAGGAAAGGGTGAAATCAAATGTTTTTCGTAGCTTAGAAAGAATTTAGTTGTAAATAAGAAATTGTGAGTGTGTGCACAAACACATGTGTATTCTTAGGTTAACCATATATGTGTGTATATATATAATATATTGTATTAAATACAGAAATTTCTACTCACCGGCTGTGGCGGCTGGCAATTGTATACGCTCCAACAGACAGAAAGCGCAGCAAATCCAAATGCAAATAATCCGCAGAAATTTCAACATGTTGCTAATGTTTGGTGTACACTTAACGTCACAGGAAGAGGAGTTAACAAAAGCAGCTGCAGAAAAAGAGTGTAATATTTTCTATTTTATTACTATTTTTTTGTTTTTTTTTCAGTTTTTTTTTTCAACACTCTGCTGTGTATTTCCTGCTTATTGTTGTAGCTTCTGAATGTTTCCTTCTTTTTGGCGCCTGAATTCACACACTCGCTATTTCACGGTTTACACGGTGTTTCAGCGATTACTGTTGTTGTTTATTTAGCTGTTATTCTTTTGCGTATTTACACATGTATTTGGGTTTAAAAATGACAGCGCTTTGCAATGTGCTGACGTGTGAATGTGTGTTTTTCGTTTTACTACTCGTTTCGTAGACGTTGTTATTGTTTTATTGTTATTGTTGCTGGCTTTAGTTGCCACTTTGTTAAGATGGCGTAGTAGGTGGTGACTGACTCTTTTACACGTAGTTAAAATGAATTTTCGCACTCTTTTTTTACCAGCACACTCACACACACACACAGACACTTTTAATATCTACTTGCGCCTCACACTTTCCATTTAATTTTTATCCGTTAACTTTTATTTGCATGTAATTGTGCTTATGTTGTTGTTGTTTTTGTTATTTTCAAAAGTATTTGTTTTTCTGCTTTCTCTATGTTTATTTTTTTCTTTGTTTTTTTTCTTGCCACTTTTTGTTATCACATCTTCTTCAAAAATTAAATTCTCTTTATTTCTTGTTCGTTTTATGTTCTAGACACTTTGTGTTTTTGCCACTGCTGGTTTGCATGTATTGCACGGCACCTACACATGCGTAAAAATTACGGTTTTTATTCATACTCAGAGCAAATCACACAATCTCACGTTCTCTCGGCTGTTTGTCGATTCAGAACTTTCTACATCCGGTTTTTGCAAAATAAACATTTGCGTTGGCGCTTTTTTGAAGTTCACTGACATTGCTTTGTGTAAATTCTTTTAAAGCAGCATCACTGTCAGTCTTCGAATTACAAGTACACGAACAACATAAACTCTGAGAAATTTGTTTTATAAAGTATTTTAGGTAAGGAAATATATGCATGTATTCGAAAATTTAAAAGGAGCTTAATACTTTTTAGTGAATTTTTTTTAAATCAATTCTGGGTTCTTTATAAAATTCTTTTCAAAATATTTTGATCAAAAAAATTGAACAACGCAAATGATACTTCAAAGAAGGTTGTTATATCTAGAAGAGTTTGTGTTTGTATACAAGTCTGTGCTCATCTTAGATTCTTAATTGTATTTAATTGCGATAAATATTCGATGATTTCCGTAAACACACCAAATAATTAAAAAAAAGACAAAAAAGTATAAAGGAAAGAGAATTGATGTGAAGTACAAAATATTGGCGCAGAAGGAGACGGAAGGTCTCAACCTCTTGAGTAACTTTGTATGATATATACAAAGTACAATTCTTATGTTGCTTCTATAAAAAATTCATTCTCGAAGAAGTTAAATCGTTGTTGCTTAGAAAACCTACAATGCTAATTTAGCTGGTGTTTATCGGTCGCAAGGAGAAGTTGTGTAATGATAAGGTTGGGAGATCATTTTTTAGAGCAACGACGTCACTTAGAAGATATAAAAAAATTACTACATGTTGATGATTTCATGGGCCGCAACAGAAATTGTGCCGCAGAAGGAAATTAAGGTGAGAGAGTGGTTTTAGATGGATGGTCACAGGCGACAATTTTTTTTGGTAAAAAAAACTAAAGGAGCAGCAGATGACGTTGGTAGGCACAATAAGAAAAAACTGAGAAGAACTGCCGCCATTGATCATCGATATGAAGACAAAGCCGCTTTATCATTTAGAATTTGTGTTTGAGCCAACATGATGAAATGAGTGAGCTCAGGACTTGCTAATGGAATGCTTATGGCGTAAAGCAGCATGAATTAGCACCGAAATTATTTTTATAGAATCTCGAAATTGATGTTTTGCTTTTATCCGAAACGCATTTCACTCGTAAGTATAACTTTTCTATCCCTTGCTTTAAGTTTTATAATACTAATCACCCAGATGACAACCAACTTTTTGGCCTACATACTCATGGAAATTGACTGAACTTGCTTAGCAACTGCTGAAACCTGTGCTGACTTATCTTCTGATCATTCCTAAATATTCATTTAATTGACCGAGCAATCATCTGAAAATTACCATATTTTTCGAATTCCTACATTCAAACCCAAATGCCTTAAGTATAACAAATACAGAAGCAGTCATACACAGACCAATCCGGAAAGAGAGAGGCCAACTGATATTGAAAACGAATTACTTGTATTTAACAGTATGCTAGCAACAACAAACCAAAGTAGAAAACAAAGCCAAAATCCAGAAATAGAGTCGTTAGTATGAAATTAGCAATGTTTGCGCATCGAATGGCAAGCCTTCCGATCGCCCGATGAAAAAATCCGACTTAATATGGCCGAAAACAAGCTATAAAAAGAATTTCGATTCGAAGAAAAAAGAAATTCAAGAAACTTTATAACATCTTTTTCCCATCGCTTTGGAAAGCTAGCAAAAACGTTAAGCCACCTTTAAGCACTGAAGCACCACTAAAACTACATAAGGGTTCATGGCCCAGAACGGATTAAAAAACGGCGACTTGTTTTACAAGGCACCTAATTGCGATAAGCTCTTTAATACTAACCTTAATCTAAGTCACTTTCAAAACGCGATGAAAAAGTCACAGATGGATATATAGCTAAACCAAGAAAAGACCACACACACTATCAAAGATACCCTTTTTTTCTCAATCTAAGTAAAGTGATACCAAAGTGATAATACAGAGCTAGTCAACGGAATAGAGGAATTAGGAAAGCATTCGAGTTCAAGCTGTATTGAGTTGAGTTAAGTTATTGCGGTTGTAGTGCTCGTAAGACTCCTCCTCTTCTTCGTCCCTACAGCTGCGCCAAAAATCATTAGAGTGATAATCCTTTCGTTTCCCATAAAGCCTAATGTTACGTATGTTGTTACGTAAGTGAAGAATCGGTCCAGAAGGATAAGATGTTTGAATTTTTTCGGTCATGGGCGTGTTACACGTGATCTCGTTCAGCCATCTTTTGCTTGTTTCCCCGGCAAAGGCGAGTTTAAGCATATATTTTGCCGTGGACAGAGGTACCCCAGCATTAAGTGCTTGTAATAAATTCCGCAACCCAATTTTCCATCGAGCTTTGAGCCATCTGTGAATCTGATCGAGGGCGTCGGTGGCTTCCCACACGCCCTTCGGTTCGGTTATTAATTAAACAAATTTTTGATGCACATCCTGCAGTTTGTATAATCCAGGTCCTTTGAAAATTTTGCTAGAGAAAATATTTTTGTGTGTCTCATACGGCAATTCTTCTACGCTTGAGTTGCATTCAATTCAATTGCAGTGCAGCCCGCTTCTAAATTTCCGTTTAAGTCAAGGAGTATTGCTGTGCAGTATAAAGTGATGAGGGGATTAACAAAAGTTCGGTAAGCTGACCAGTCTTGTATTTTTTAGCAATGTTAGTATTTTTTTTTATCTGCTTTACATAACCGATATTGGTTTAATGTATTTCTTAAACCTATAGATCCGATTCTGAAAAATGCCTTGAAAATCTTTGTTTTTAAGCTTATTAAGTTCCGCATTAACCGAGGAGATTAAAAAAAAATTTCGTTCAGTTGGTGACTTTCAATTTTTTTTTGTTAAATCTAAAAATACCAAATTCTTTCTAATTACTTTATTAGTCTTTCTTTGAATTTTTAGAACGATCAGCTAAAATGGAGATGAGAAAACAAAGCGAAAAGAAATTCGCCATGTGATTCTCTTCAAGTTTGGGCGTAATTTACTGCCAATACAAATATTGAGTGGATACCACATTGCATATGGAACGATTCTACCGTATTTAAAGAATAATTCTAGGTGATTCCTTCCGAAGATTACAGACCGGACATTCTTCTATAGAGGACGAGCCCTGAGAAGGTCGACATAACTCTTCCACTTATTACGTCACTGTAGCTCTGGTGAAGCGCAAAATTGACGAAGACCCGCGATTGATACAAGTAATGATTTCTAATGAATTGGGTTTGCATGCCATGTTGCGAATATTTAGTAATTATCTGGGATATGCGAAGAAATCTGCTCGATTGGTTACCATGAATTTGAAATGAGGCCCAAAAATAGGCTCGAAAGCATTTTGATCAAATTTTTCCTGAACAAATTTGGAAAAGGTCAATCTAGCAAGTAAAGTCGTTATTGGTGTCGAATAGTGGATCTATAAGTACGATCCTGGAACCGAACAGCAGTTCATAGTTTGGAGCCAAATAGGAGCAAGCCCACCCGTTAAATGTTAGCAACAAATCAGTAACAAAATTAATTATCAAACTTCGTAGCTGCTATTCCACTGAAAAATGATACATCGAGGAGTACTTACCAAAAGTTTTAAAAAATTTTTTGGAAAAGAGGAAGAAAGTGGATTTGCGGCGCTGCTTTTTACATCATGACAAAGCGCCATATGACATTTCTGAAATAACGATAAAGCGATCTCTGGGATCGAATGAATACGTCCAGCTTTATATTCCTCCGCTATAGCACTTAGGAGCACTAAATCTTTGTAAAATTTCTAATAATATTCAATATGCTGCAAGTAATTAGCGCAAAGTTCAACTATGTTTAGTTTCCAATGTTGTTGAGCATATTAATTTGGAATTAGAACAGGGTAAAAGCAATAAGGCGAACAGATGCATATTTTGTATATATGTATATATCTAAATATAAACACAGATTAGCTCAAAGCATTTCACCAAACTACAAAGTAGCAGTGAATAATGAACAATGAAATTTAGTTGAAGTAGTGAATTTTCAAACAAACTTTTCCAACATTTTACTATAATAAGCCACGAATTGTTGTTGTTGCAAGTCATAAATATATCGAAGTAATGAAAAATCAGTGAAGCATAGAACATCTCGTTTATAATTCCATCGCTGCTGGGTGAATGAAAGTAAAACACAAATAATTACAAATATGAATGTTCAAATTAATTTGTACAAAATTATTAATAAAATTTAAAAACGTTAAAAAATTATATTAAATCTAATTTAATATATTATAGACTATATAAAAAAAATTCAAGATATTTAAAAAGCAAAATAATAATAATATTAAAAAACGTCAAGTATAAAATAACAAACACTTAACTTAAAGTAATGATGTATGTGCAATATAATAAGCTCTTCAGTCAAGTGGGATATCTGATACCTCCGATTTATCTTTAATTGAAGCTTCAACCGCATCAGATTTAATAATAATTGCAGATGAATTTATTTATTATTATATAATCCTTAAAAGTTCTGGCGGATTTCTGCTCGCTACCATCATTAATATTACAACAATTACCTTCATTCCTTTTCTATTACTTTTCCTGCTATTATTATGATTATTATTATTATTTTGAAATTTCGTATCCGTCGATTGTTATGCATATTTCTGAGCGCTGTTATTGGCTGCGCTATTTGTAGTTAGCAGCTTAAGAGATTTGATATACGAGTATCTAAGAAACCAGAACGAAACTTTGTGGATGCAGCTTACTTCCTTCGCAACTACCATTCTTTGCATCTCCGCTATGCCGAGACTTAAAAACTTCGACACACGCACACACTTACACACACATGTAGACATACACATAGATGCAGTTAGTTACATACAAACCGAAAGTTGCAAACTTCTAAGGGCATTGTGTCGACAATTGTCAGTAAGTGAGTTTGTAGTCAGGAGAACTGAAGTGCTGAGGGAAATTGCTTGAAGTAGATAAATTTTCAGAATCAACGAAGAAGAAAAAGAAAACAAATTTGAGAGATGTGGAAAGAAAAAGGAAACTTTTCAAATTCGAGGCAATTTCAATTCACTGAATGAGTGCGTCGAAGAGAGAAATTGTAAGCGCGCTCGCACACACAGACCCACCTACACACACACGCTTATACAAACGCGCAGAGATAATAACAGAGGTTTATAGTTATAGCAAGTAATATGCAAGCA